AGTTTCTTAACGTTTTATACCATTATATGTATGTATACAAGGCCGTAACTGTGATAAAGGTCCAGGGRTCTTAACCTCCTCCCCCGAAACTTTTTATAAGTAGAAATAATTTAGTTGTGAACATAGTTTATTAACTATAATTATTGTACTAAGAATAATTTTATATTTTCATTAAAACAGTAATTTGCAGTAAGATAAAACATAAAACGCACATTTTATTTCATTCMAACGTCATAATACAAATTAAGATTAATATATGAGATAAGCTAGGTAACTAGGTATTGTGATCGTCGCAGATAATCTGTACTTATATATAGGCATGTCGGACACAAAAAGTTGTTAGTGTAATGTATATAAATTAATAATTATTTTGTAAATTTAATATTAGATCAATTTGTATTTTACATTTAATTTATTTAGATTCTGAACGAAGTGAGGAATGTATTTTTATACCTACTTTTTATAACAATGAGAATAATTCCATATTATATGTATATAAATAATTAACAATTAAGTAAATTGAAATTTTTTTTTCATTTATTTAAACTTTGTATTACAATTAGTTACAACTATTACGTGACAAAAAATACGAGATATAAATAAGTTACTTACTTATAAATAAGAAAAGAAAGAAGATGTCTGATTATATTATTAAAAACCCTATATGGTTGAAAAAGAATAATATGTACAGTATAATRTTTATTTGTTGGATTGAAAAGATAATTTTAGTAACGATAGGAATATTGGCAGAGTTCAAAAAGGAAAAAAGTTGATCTCGTTGAATTGATAGGCTGGGGCATAAAAAAATTGAATATTAGAATGATGGTTTATGTTTTTAATAACGAGAATAAACAAGATAATATTATAATATAATTAAAGTAAAAATTATGAATATCACACTTTCACAGTCAACTTGTATAATTCAGCTCATATGCTTAATGTAACTTACAGTTACAGATTGTATATTTTCTAATAAATAAAAAAAAAAAAAAATATTAATGTCCTGTATTTGTAGTAAAAAAAATCTCTGGACCCTCCCCTCTCCAAAATTTGTTTTTAGTTACGACCTCGGATGTATATTAGGTAAATTATAGTCCATAGTTATATAGATTAAAGACTAGAATAAATTATACTTTACAAAATAGATRCATTACCTTGTTGTGTAAATAAGAACTTGACTCTATAAAGTAAATAAAAACCACAAATAATCTTGTCATACGTATTATTCTGATGATAACTTTCAAGCTTACTAAGTTGTAAATAAAACTAAAACATAATTTATTATTAAAATCAAACATTTGGTTAATAATATAAAATGGAGTGTTATATAGTTGTACATATTTAATGTTTTTAAAATATTTAATAATTATTTACTAGGTGCATATGTATAGAAAAATTATATATACATTAGCTATCCCYACCCCGTCACTTGGATTTTTTTCACAAATATTGAGTATAGAATTTGAATGAATTTGTTTGATAAAAATCATACTATATTGATTATTATACGTAAACATTTGATCAAAATTCATTTAACATTATTTAATTTTCTAATAGTGACAAGCGAAAATTATTTCACTGATTTTTATCCTAAAAGCATAATATATATTCTTACTAAAATAAATATTTGGTCGTATTTGACAACACGTAAGCGTTCAAAATCAACTTTTGGTAATTTCGTTAATAAAAGATTAATAAAGATTATTACTTATTAGCATAGTTATATTTTACAATTTTACAATTTAAAAGGTACCTACAACTTACAAGAATTCAATTTATATTCAAATGACTTATTTTGTGTATATCCCAGAATCGCCTTTTTTCATTCCTAGTATTCAGCAAACGACAAATTCATGCCTACAGTCACTAACTACAAGCAGTACAAGTGGTACAAATAATACTGGATTCGACAACGAAACAATCGTTATGAATACATTTATTCATCAATTTAAAGTGCGACCGAAATAATCGTAAAATCAAAGTGCAACCAAAATGATAAATATAAAAAAATATAATATAATATAGTAAATATTGTGACGACGCGCCGTGTTAGGGTATTTGAACAATTCATTGATATAATAAAGCGTTAAATTTGTGCACGTCATATATAGTTTTGTTTCAAAAGCGATTACCACTCGAGGGTAGTCAGGTCACATACAAAAACACGTGCTTTCAGTGATTCGAAACAGCCATAGTAAATTTCAATTATATAATAATTATATTCGTTATATACATATTATGATGATCGTAATAATAAGAGTGCTAGTTTCACAATAATTTACTTTTCCGTCGCAATACTCATGGCCACGTTATTCATGAGCTTAAACAGCACCAACAGCACGTACAGTTGGTAACACGACAAGAGTATGATCAATTCCAAGTTGTAGTGTAAGTTGAACTTTTTGCAAAATGTGTACAACACGAGATTCCGTTTTCGAGCTTGACGTATCCGTTCCAAGTCGTCGATTAGGCCCGACTCTACGTAGTTGTTCAAATCACTGTACAATCGACCAACCACGTGGAACGTGTGAATAAATTGCATTTCTAATCCCAAAAAAGCATAGGTAGTAATGTTGTCCAAGTTCATGGGCTTGTTTTTCATACGTCTGTATTTGCAAAACATTCCAAATGCTATGAATTATAATATAATTATAATTATAATTATATAATACATCGTTGATGGCTAATGTGTATTAATATAATATATAATACAAAGATAATATTTTTTTTTTTTTTTAATCTAGAAATTATACAATCTGTACWTAAAAAAAAGTACAATAAGCATAAATTATGGTTTTTTTTTTAAAAATTATARTTAATGAGCTTGAATATCTTGAGGGAAGAACCAACCAGCGAAGGCACTTCRGCGTGAATTTACAATTTATTTATGATTTTATGATTTTATGATTAATGATTTTAATTTATAAGATCTCGAGGCCATTGTCGCTTGAGTCTTCTTGGGGGATTTCCAGAAATGGAGATGGATAGTAATTTTTTAATATGAGGGTTTGTG